ATTCCTACGACTTTTCCTTTGATTTAATTACTTTAAAATATTTTGGGGTTGAACCCACCCTTGTTGCACTTACTTGATGGACTGGGCATTTGGTTTTCTCTTTTCTTCCGTAACTTAAACAATTTTTCTACTCCGTATGGTTTTAGGGAAATAATTCCCAAGGATTTTATTTATATAAATATGAATGGCCCTTAATACCATCTATGTAACCCCTTTTGGCCCGTCGGGTCACGGTGAACCAGGATCATGAGTCGGAGGTGTTACAAATCCATTCCTCACAGGCGTTAAGACTACCAACAGCTTCCTTAAATGCCATAGTATTCAAGTCCGAATATATTGTTCTATTGTGGCAACAATTGGAAGAAACTTGTTTGTGGCAGAATTAAGCAACTTATTTACTTGTTTCTTCTCCTTGATTGTCGATCCAAGTTCCTGAACCTTAGACAAGATCTTACCAACCTTGCTTGCAAAATCATCAATACTCTCACTTTCCTTCATTCTCAACATTTCAAACTCTCTGTTCAGAGTTTGGATTCGTGGTTGTTTAACCCAATTGGCTCCGAGATAACGCACCCTGAGTGCATCACACACGTTCTTGGCCTCTACATGTCCTGCTACTTGCATCAGAATATCTTCCGGTAGTGCCTGGAAGATAAAGGCCTTTGCCTTCTTCTAGATCTTGACATCCACCTCCGTTGCATCCGGTGGTTCTATGGCATCCCAAATTCCTTGGGCATCCATAAACGATTGCATTTTGATAGCCCAAGACGTATAATTTGATGTAGTGAGTACAAGACATTGATACATTGTCGAGCCTCCATCTCAAACTTGGGTTAAAGCAACATCATTTGTTTTTTTAGTATAAATGGCCTCCATCACAGACTATTGTTTTTCAAGGTGTATTGCAAGAGCACTAGTGATTAGAGATCTGTGTTTGATTTTTTTTCTTACTAGGGCTCCGAGACCAATTGAGAGAAAAACTTAGAAGTGGAGGATATAAACAGAGTGTTTTATTCTGATACTTCTGTCTAGAATTATGTGTCCATACATATAAATAGAGGACTAACCAACACAACCATTACAAACAAACACAAGAGTTACTAACCAACACATCTGTCAGAAACTGCCTGAAAACTACCTAAGTGTTCCTTTTTTTAAACTAAGTTCTGGGCTAGAATTTGTAGGGTTCTACGGTTGGATAGGGCAGCGGAAATATAAAAATTTTGTTGCCCAAACGTAGATCCACCCAAGACCTCTTATGATTATTATAATTTATTGTTAAAGAATAAACCTTTCTTGGAGAGCAAGCAACAATATGTGTAGGTTGGAGGATTGATCCAAGAGCTAGCCACAAAAGTATATGACCTTCAGTTGAGACACACGAACAATAAAGAGTGTTTTAGAGAAAATTATGCTAGTAATTTTTCTCTATAATATTTTTAAAATAGAAAATATTTGGTGTAAAGTATTAAGAGAACAAAACAAAATTTTGTCTCTTAAAGGAAGAGAGAGGGTCGAAACTATTGTGTAGAAAAAGGGGTGGGATGATCTCCTATTTATAAGGAGCATAATCCTCATTCTCATTCCTAATGAGAATGTTCCTTTTAATGTTTAGGAAAGAAATCAAATCTCATTCCTATTCCAGTTTGGTAATTTCAAATACCACTTTAAGAAAGCTTCCAATTCATTTTGTCAACTTTAATTATCATATAATTAACACAAAATAAACAATACAACATTTATAATATATATATATATATATACATACTTATATATATTCGGCGATATATATATATATACATGCACCTCTATATATAAATATAATAATGTTATATTTTGTTTCTTCGAATAATATTTGACAAAATTAATTATCATATAATTAAAATGTCCAAATATCAAAAATTATTATATATATATATATATATCCGAATATATATATATATCTATTATTATTAATTATATTTGACAAACTTAATTATGCCATAATTAAAATGTCCAAATATAAATACTCCCTCCGTCCTATATTTAACTTCCCGTTTTGACTTGAGCTCATTTTTAAGAAAGAGTAAAAATTCCTTTGACTTTCCAAAATTGCCTCTCAACCCTTTCCAAAATTGCCTCTCAACCCTCCACCACAAGCATATATATCCAACAAATTCAAGCTTTTGGAACAGAATCGATTCATCTGTTCTGAAATAAATTTTTTTTGCATATATATACGCTTCATGTATATCAGTAGATACGAAGGAAGATAATCACATATGAGCCTTAAATCGATCATTGACTCCACCCAATTCAAGAAATTTGGTGTATCAAAAACACACCCAACATTAAAAAGGGGTAAAATCAAAGATGTTAAAAAACACAGATCTGAAATACTCCGTAGAAAGAATTAAGTATAAGATGCAATAGAAAAAAATGGATTTGCTCTTCTTAGGCTTTTTAGTGTGTTAATCTTAACAACAAAGAATAGATCTGAAAATGAATGGAATCATAAATGCAATTTTATTCTAGAGACAAAGGTGCAGTGCAACGAAAACAAAATCAAAGACAAAAAAATGAAATCTCGTGAAGGGAAAGGAAATTCGAATCGAAAAGGAAAACTGAGATTTGAGATAAGAAAGAGAAGGTCGCTGGGATGAGATTATGAGAAGTAGAAGTTAGAATTAAGAAGAAATTAAAGAAAACCGATGAGGTTGGGGTTAAAGGAGGACGTGAGAATTAGGAAGGAAAAAAGAAAGGATAGGTTAGAGGGTATTATTGTCATTTGATATAGTAGAAGTTGCCATTTTAAGTAATGGGAAGATAATTTTAGGACATCCTGAAAAGGAAAGTGAGAAGTTAAATTTAGGACGGAGGGAGTATTTATTTATACATATGTTTGTGTATTTAATCATATTCACACACAACAATATATATAAAATATTGCTTTACTCCACTTAAATCTTCTACACTTTTATATGTTTTATGTGTGTGACCCTATTCTAGGTATCTATAAAATTGGCCATAGTATTGATTAAATACTACAAGTGATAAGCGGTATCTAGCAACACATTATCACCCCCAAATTATAGATATAAAGCTCTTGGAACAATTCCTTCAACGACACATCTTATTTGTATAACCCTTATTATCCCTTTATCACTAATATTTTGGTTTAACACAAGGTACGGGGTGTGTCATGTTGAAACATGGGTTTATCGCTTTTTCGTACTAAAGCCGTGTTTGTTTTTATGACAGGTTTTGATAATGCCAAACCGCCGTGAACGAGACAAGTTGTTGAATATACAAGGCGAGAAATAAATATAAGAAGACAGCAAGAGAACAAGAGCCAAAAGAGACCAAGAACGAAGACCGTAGTCTTTAGCGTCGTTGATTCGGTCACAATGTGATCAAGACCGACCCAAGCTTTGCACTTTGGCTCTTTAGGCTAAAACTTTTTTTATTGCATTTTACATAGCATCAAAATTATTTTCAAACACGTTCAAACATATTAAAAACACTTGGTGTTCGCCCAAACCAAAAACCAAGCCATCCAGGGTTCGGCTTTCGGAAACCGGCGTTCGGTTTTCAGAAACCGGCATTCAGCATTCGGTTATCGGCGTTGGTTTTTGGCGTCCGAACCAACCAATTGTTTTTCAAATTTTTATGATTGGTTTTTACTTCTGGGCACATTTAAATAGTTTTCCATCAAAAACACTTCAAAAACCACCTTTCGTTTTTTGTCGTTTGATAAAAACCATGCGAAATGGCATAAACTTGGCTAGCCATGGTTTTTACTTAAATGAAGTGGTTTTCAAGTCTTTTTGTGTAGGAATTGTTTTTGAATGCATTTAAATGGTTCTCCAATCAAAACATCATGAACCACCTTTCGGTTTTGTCTTTTGGTAAAAACCACCCGTGTACGGCGTTGACTTGGTCAGCCGTGGTTTTTACCTTAACGACGTGGTTTTCAACTTAAAAAGCTTTTTTTGAAATCACAATACATTAAATAAGTGTTTTATATACTTAGTTTTTACTTTGGAGAACTTTGCATTTTTCGGTCGGGTTTTAGTGTCGGTCAGCTATGTCATGGTTCTGGGCTAGCCATCTACCCAGCGATGGTAGATATCACCCATCCATGGGTAAGTGATCCCGGGATTCTAGAATCATTTCAACCAGCGATGGGAGATATTACCCAGCGATGGGTAAGCAGCCTTCAGCCCAATTGATTTCCAGAACCATGCCAAACTGCGATGGGAAGTTCTACCCATCGCTGTTTAAGCCTTAGTCCAACATTTCCACAAGGCAGAATGACCTTACCCAGCGATGGGAACCTTTACCCATCGATGGGAACCCAACGATGGGAGGGCATACCCATGGCTGGTTAGGCATGACCGTTGTGAGTCATTTAAGGCTGATTATTTCCTTGTTTGAAAGTCAACCTCCCACCCAGCAATGGGAAGCATTTACCCATCGATGGGTAGGTGACCGTTGGCTTCAAAATTAAAGGAAAATTGGCTTACCAGCGATGGGTGAGTCTAAACATCGATGGGAGCCAATATCCTGCAGATCCCAAATTTATTCAATCCCATAAATCAAGCCAATCACCCCTTTAATGCATTGGTCCGTTGGAGCCTATTTTGGCACTATAAAAAGGGGTCTTTGGGTCTGCTTTTCACATAAATTAACTTCACAATATTTATATTTTCATTGCATTCAAACAACATTCTTTTCCATAGCTTTCTAGAGCCAATTTGTGTGAAGTTTGAGTTGTTCTTGAGCGTACTTAGTTTACTCATTATCTACTTTTAAAGAGAGTCTTGTTCTTGAGTGTTTAGTGTTGTATACACATTAAGGGAATCTTGTTTCCCTTGATCGTATGAAGGAAAGGTATTTTCCTTCGGGTTGAAGTCTCGGAGTGCAGTATCTCCGAGCAAGTGTATTGAGGCTTGTGGGACTCGAGTTCTCAGGTTGTAACGGTTTGTTAAGCACCCGTAAGCTTAACATAAGTAGTGTAGCTCGAGAGAGTCTCTCGGGAGGCTGGATTAGCCACAAGTTGTGGTGAACCAGGGTAAATCTTGGTGTGCTCCCTTTACGCTTTCTACGCTCTTTATCTTTCACGTTCTTAATTTTTTATTCCTGCGGTTTCTACGATCAAACGCTATTCACCCCCCCTCTACCGTTGGTCACTTATTCTAACAATCGGTATCAGAGCCTAACTCTCTACAAGCCTTAACCGGTTGAGAGAACGATCTATATTTTCTTGTTGAGAATGTTGTATGCAGGATTAAGCGAAAGACACTCCACCGTTAGACCTCCACTCTTTGATGGAACAAACTACACCTATTGGAAGAAAAGAATGAGGATTTACATTCGGTCAATCAACTTCCAACTGTGGTTAATCATAAAAAATGGTGAGACGATGCGAATGAAAAAGGTTGGTGAAACCACCATCCCAAAGACGGAGGAAGAATATGATGCTGAAGATATCAAGAAGGTAGAAGCTTTTGAAAAAGCTAAACACATGATTTTCTATGCAATTAACCCGGATGACTCCCGGAAAATTTCTTCTTGCTCCACTGCAAAAGAAATGTGGGATAAGCTTGAAGTGACATACAAAGGTATGCCTCAAATCCGTGAAGCTAAAATTGATTTTCTAACCCATGAATATGAGTTGTTTAAAATGAAGGAAATTGAAAGCGTTGATCAAATGTTCGACCGATTTTTAAAGATCATCAACGATCTCCATGTCCTTGGGAAAGCATACTCAAACAAAGATCTTGTTCGAAAAATCCTTCGGAGCTTAACACCGAAATGGCGTTCAAAAGCCGATGCCATATATGAGTCGATAGGTAACACCAACGTCGCCATTGATGGTCTTCGAGGTTGATGGTGTAAATATAGCGGGGTGGGTTAACCGGGTTTGACCTGGACACACTCGACCCGTAATATAAAACACACAACAAGAACACGAAGTATGACCTAGACCGGGTAAATCGCCTCAGTCCGAATTATATTTCTTACTCTATCTCAAGAGTGAACTTTAGTGAGAGAAAAATTGGATCCCCTCCTCTATCAAATATCATCATATTTATAGAGGAGGATTTGTGACCCTCCCCTGTTCATCCATGGACAAAATAGGAAGCTCGTGGGAAGGTCACTGTAGATAATGGAAGCACTGTACAATCATAGAATTTAGCAACTATAAGCCAAGACATGTACTGTTCAATCAAAGACTAAAATGGATATTCTCAATCCAATCAACCCTGCAAAATGACAAA